AAAAAAAAAAAAAAAAAAAAGTCAACCCCAGATTCACACATGAAGTTCAGCGACATGTTGGAAAGAAAAGGTTTCTGCCTCCTACCTTGACCGTTCGGTGGGTTTGACGGGACGCGTGGCACCTCATGTTGCTCGTGTTGCAGCAGCCGGTGCAGCGTTTCACCTCCACGCAGGGAGGCCAGATGATGAAGTTGGCCGAAGTGGGATCCACCTGGCTCCTGGGGATTTCGTAAATTATAGTGCGAACTCTGCACGCTGCGGGCAGGGCTTCTTCCACTTCTGCAGGAGAGATCAAATGGGCTAAAATTTATAAGAGCCTTTTTTTTTGCACCAGGTCTCAATATGTTTATTTTTAAAAAGGGGGTGTCATGTAAAATCAAAATTTTTGAGCTTCATATCATGTTATAATATCACTCCCTCATCAAAAACATACTCAGAGTTGTTTCGGAGCGGCCTAAATGCTTATTTTGTTGTTATTTTCTAAAACCCATAAAGTTGCTCCTTTTTTAACAACAAAATGCAACGCTCCTAAGAAAGGTTATAAATGGCATGAAGCATTGTTGTGACCCCCACAAACGCACACTTAAAGCAGAGTCAAATGAAAAAAAAAAGAATACAATGTTGCACAATAACCCCAGTGCTCTCACCAGTGCTCCTCTTTTGTCTTGCGTGTGTGTTCTTGTGATCGGGGAAGCTGTGAGACAAGTCCTTGCTGTAGCTGTGTTTGGTCTCCTCCATCACCTCGTTCTCTGGACGGAGACAAAACAAACATGTGTCCGGCTAACGTCACTAATCCTTGTCTCAAACACGAGCACATCCTGAAACGTATCTGACTACAGATAACGCAAGTTTATTTTCTGGGAAAAAGTCTCAACCCATCATTCATTTTCTTTAATGTTTTCTCATTAAGTTTTAAAGTATGTGAGTGTGTTACACTCTCAGTGAGGCATCCAGCATATTTGTGATATTTGTGACCTAATTGCTTTTTCAGATTCKTGGCTTTAAAAGCTACATTTTGATGCCTGGATCATTCTGATATCATAATTAAATCCATACATATGACTTAATTTGTCTTTTGGTTACAGTAATACATAAATATTTGGTCTGACTCCTAATTTTATGCAATTTTAATGAAGATTTTTTGATGTCGTTATGAAGAGGAAACCTCAAATTATTTTTTAATATATATTTTCTAGCTAAAAAGAAACAAAACTTTGSTAGCTCACAGGGAAAATCTCAAAATTTTAAGGCGTTTTTCCTCAAAATCAGTTTTTTTGTTGCTACTGTTCAAAAAAGTGCTTCAAATTTTTGTTTTATGATTATATTTCAGACAGTTCATTCAGTTGATACATCGATAAGGCATTTATTCATTAAGTTTTAATAAAATGCAGTTTTTGTTAACATTTTAGTCAAAACACTAAATTTGCCAATTTCTCCATACACCACTTTTGGTCTTAATCCTTGTTTCAATGTGATGGGTCACATTTGTGCCACATGGCTTGGCACAGATAAGTTCAATGTCTAATMAATTCTTACCAATTTATTCTATGGAACCACCTTAGTGTGTAAAAACTTGACTTGAGCAWATCTTTAATTCTAAACATTAAAGCTTTGTTCTTTTATTCTGTGTGCATATTCGTGCAACTCGTGCCTGTATTCAGAGTTTGCTGGGGACACAACAAAGTCCACCTCCGACATCTCCCTCCCTGCATGTGTGAGTCCCCTGACATGGAGGAATTTGAGCATGAATTATACATTGCAGTAGAGCAGCCTGCAGCGAGCCCTCCCCTCAACGCAATAAAGGGCAGCATGACAACACCATAATGAAGTGAACCACTTGACCCCCGCCGAACTGGGGGAGCTGTCACACTCAACATTTGCATCTCAATGATGCCAGGATTAATGGTGGCACTGCTCTGAACCGCACACATAAAAAAAAAAAAAGAATCAGCCGTGTGTCGCAGGCAACTAGAGGGTCTGAGCTGCACAAAGTTTGAGTGGGTGAAGGTGCAGGTGTCTGTTTCATGCCACAGTTATTTCCTTCTGTCTCACCTCAGTGATTTAATCAGAACCGATTTATGATTACCTGGTGACCACAGAGTTCACTAAAAACAACAAACACTAAAGTTTTTAACAAGGACATATCATAAAATATCCACTTTTTTAGCTGTTAAATACATTTTGTTGTGTATGGAGTGTCTAGAAGTGCAGACAAGTTAAATTTAGTCTCGCCTGGTGYTGCATAGATACTGTATCTTTATGTTATTTTGTGTCATACTTAACCCATTCAGTTTTCTCTATTTTCTATTATGTTTTCTGAACTATTACGTCTTTTTTGTGTGACAGAACTGCCAAATAACGTCTGGACTTACCAACTACAATTTTGTTGTTTTCATTTTCCTCTGGCTCTGAGTCAGACTCTGGCTCCAACATGTGAGGCTGGATGGACAAGTCTTCTGTTGACAACATATTTTAATAATTTGTAAATAAAAAAGAAATTCTGCACCACTATAATCAAAAATCCCTCTTATCAAACTAGAATGAACCGGTCTGGAAGATGGAGGAAGGCGGGGTGTGAAGCGTCTCATTTTGACTTAAAGAAACAGCCTCGAAATGAGTTGATCTCAGACACCCCTCAGAAAAGGGGTGAAAGAGGGTCTTGTGGAGTTATAATAAGGAGGAATTTAGACCAAATCATTACTGTTCCACTTTATATAGACCCCAGTTGAATGATTTAAATGTAAAAAAGGATTTAAAAGGATGATATGGCCACTTTAAGGGTGACAAACATGTTTTGTTCTTGTTATCTTTATTTATTTACCTTTGTTTAACCAGGAAAATCCCATTAGGATCACCTCTTTTGCAAGAGAGGCCTGGAGGCAACCTAACATGCATGTATTTTTAGTCTGAGGAAGAAAACCCACTCAGAGAAAACCCACACATACATGAGGAGAACATGCAAACTCCACAGAGAAAGAGCCCAGGTCAGAACTGGGGATTGAAACCAGGACCTTCTTGCTGTGAGGCATCAGTGCTAACCGCTGAGCTGACGTGCTGCAAAAATACAATCCTGGMCAAAATTATGGCATGTGTGCACAAAAGTGATAATAAATATTTATAAGACCACTTGTTGACTTAAAAAGGTCAGAAAATTAATAATATCGGTCTAAAGATTCAGATTTTTTTTTGTTTGATAATGGTCAACAAAGCAGTTTTGGCATGGTCAACAGTCTTGTCACAATTACAAAATTGCATTTTCTAGGCCACAATGCAGAAGGAAGGAACAAACAAAGGACTTGAATAGCCAGATGTGACATACTAACTCGCTATAAAAGCTGAAATTTTACACGCCTAGTTGAAGCTTATCATTGCTTTTGTCAAGATGCCAAAGATCAAACCAGAAACSAAAGTGCAGATCATCAAGAATMCTAAATAAGTCTCTTTCTGAAGTTGCAAACATCGGCAAGTGCAGAGGATCCACAAGWGCTTCCAAGAGACTGGAGAAGTCCATGACCGACCCAGGTCAGGCAGATCACACAAAACAACCACTCGAGAGGACAACTTGCTGATCGGACAGTCAAAAGCCATCCCTATGTCAACCGTTTCAYAGCTCCAGGAGCAGAGGGTGACAGTGTCAACAAGGACTGTACGTTGGATTCTTGCACATAATGGTCTGCATGGTTGTGTTGCTGCCCAGAAACCAGCAATAAACAGGAAGCAGCTAAGAAACTGTGTTGCATGTGCAAAAAGCCCACAGTTTGAAAGAAGGCTGGACAGAAGAAAAATGGCCRAAAATTGATTTTTCAGATGAATMATCAATTGAGCTCCATCCCAAGTGYYGCAAATAYTGTAAACWATCTCTCTGGTGCTTGTCTGGATCCACGGTTCACCCTGAAGACAGTCAAATTTGGAGGTGGAAAAATTATGCGTTGGGGTTACATCCACTATGGAGGTGTCAGGATAATCTGTAAGGTGGATGGCAACATTGACAGTGCCAAATATTAAGAAATTCTCATCTTCCATCACATTCCCAATTACAAGAGGGGACAGAGTTTCCAGCAGTATAGAGCTCCTTGCCATACCTCAAGGTCCACTATGAAGTTTCTGAAGGGAAAGAAGACCAAGATTCTTCAAGGATGGCCAGCACAGTCACTGGATATGAACGTTATTGAGCATATTTGAGGAAGAATGAAGGCGGTAGCTTGGAAAACTAAGCCAAAGAACTTGGAGGAATTATGGACTGCATGCCAGGCGGCCTTCCGTGCCAACCCTGATGACTTCATCAACAAGCTGTGTGACTCTCTGCCAAACAGAATGACAACTGCACTGCAGGCCAAAGGAACCCATACAAGATATTAATTTCTCAACAACTAGTCTACRATGAAATGCTAGACTGATTTTTCATTTGTTATTGTGTTCACGTTTTGAAAATATAAAGTTTGACTTCATTTTGGTTGATTGTTTGCAACAAGACTTTTGTCTGGCTAGAAATGGACTTTTTCATCATTTTTATGTTTTTAWGCAATGCAAAAATAATAAGATTAAATGCCATTTTATTTTGGTTGTATGTAAATAAACTTAAGATCGTTACAATAAACTTGCATTGTTTCCTAAATTGATTAGCAAATTAAGAGTCAGATGTATGGAAGGTTTTTAAAATACAAATTGAGAGTTGTTTAGTAGCTACTTGTCACTAACATTTCCTGTTTGGGTGTTTCTTGTGGAGGTAGCCCTGAGACAACATTAAATACCACCTATGYATTTAGACATTTAAAATTCAAACATTCACCCAGCTAACTCTAAAAACCTAACATAATTAAGTAACACAATTTAGAGCAAGGGTGGGCAATCCT